ACCCAAACACCCGTCACATAACCACCAAAACACCCGTCACATAAAACCCAAAACACCCGTCACATAACCACGAAAACATCCGTCACATAACCAACAAACACCTGTCACATAACCACCAAACACCCGTCACATAACCACCAAACCCCCGTCACATAACCACCCAAACACCCGTCACATAACCACCCGTCACATAACCACCAAACACCCGTCACATAACCACCAAAACACCCGTCACATAACCACCAAAACACCCGTCACATAACCACCAAACACCCGTCACATAACCACCAAACATCCGTCACATAAAACCCAAACACCCGTCACATAACCAAAACACCCGTCACATAACCCCCAAACAACCGTCACATAACCAAAACACCCGTCACATAACCAAAACACCCGTTACACAAGCACCAAAACACCCAATCATCCGTCACATAACCACTAAAACACCCGTCACATAACCACCAAACACCCGTCACATAACCACCAAACACCCGTCACATAACCACCAAACACCCGTCACATAACCACCAAACACCCGTCACGTAACCACCAAACACCCGTCACATAACCACCAAACACCCGTCACATAACCACCCCAACACCCGTCACATAACCACCAAACACCCGTCACATAACCACCAAACACCCATCACATAACCACCAAACACCCGTCACATAACCACCAAATACCCGTCACATAACCACCAAACACCCGTCACATAACCACCAAACACCCATCACATAACCACCAAATACCCGTCACATAACCACCAAACACCCGTCACATAACCACCAAACACCCGTCACATAACCACCCCAACACCCGTCACATAACCACCCCAACACCCGTCACATAACCACCCCAACACCCGTCACATAACCACCAAAACACCCGTCACATAACCACCAAAACACCCGTCACATAAACCCCCAAACACCCGTCACATAAACCCCCAAACACCCGTCACATAACCACCAAACACCCGTCACATAACCACCAAACACCCGTCACATAACCACCAAACACCCGTCACATAACCACCAAACACCCGTCACATAACCCCCCAAACACCTGTCACATAACCACCAAAACACCCGTCACATAACCACCAAAACACCCGTCACATAACCACCCAAACACCCGTCACATAACCACCCAAACACCCGTCACATAACACCCCAACACCCGTCACATATCCACCCAAACACCCGTCACATAACACCCCAACACCCGTCACATAACACCCCAACACCCGTCACATAACCACCCCAACACCCGTCACATAACCACCCAAACACCCGTCACATAACCACCAAAACACCCGTCACATAAACCCCCAAACACCCGTCACATAACCACCAAACACCCGTCACATAACCCCCCAAACACCCGTCACATAACCACCAAACACCCGTCACATAACCACCAAACACCCGTCACATAACCACCCCAACACCCGTCACATAACCACCAAAACACCCGTCACATAACGCCCCCTACCCCATACCAAAAATAACGATTCCTACCTGTCATCTATCACCACAATATTGACAAGATTTCCTCACCTGTTCCGTCGCGAAGTTGACGGGAAGAACGTCCCAGTTTCTTGAACTGTCTTCAGCCGTCGGTGGAAAGCAACAATTACCATCGAAGGACATTCCATCAGGGTTCATTATTAATATAATTAAATTCCCGGAAACTGAGGCGAATGCCAGAAAGTACTAAATGGTTTTCAAAGGTTTGGAGGCTCCACCAGCACCAGCCGGGCCTCACCAGGACATGATGCTGCATCACACTGTTCCCCAGAGATTATGAGAGGTCAATAAATGCACTCAGTTGCACTCGGGCTGCTGTTGAAACACTGCGGTATTCACTCGGAGGTCCAAGGCTGCACTAAAGGCTCCGGGATATCACACTAGCACATCCTTGTGTGTGTTTTCCTAACTCTTGGGGACCGACTCGTGATCCAGGAGAGGGCTGGAGGTTCCAGGAGAGGGCTGGAGGTTCCAGGAGAGGGCTGGAGGTTCCAGGAGAGGGCTGGAGGTTCCAGGAGAGGGCTGGAGGTTCCAGGACAGGGCTGGAGGTTCCAGGCGAGGGCTGGAGGTTCCAGGAGAGGGCTGGCGGTTCCACGAGAGGGCTGGAGGTTCCACGAGAGGGCTGGACTACAGTCACGGTGCTGGGGAAGGCCTGACGGGGTTTGGTGATCCTGAGAACCTCTCACTCCTGCCGGAAAACATTCCGCAATTGCAAATTGATGCTCGGTGTTGCCTTTAGGTGCTCGAAGTTGCTTCGATGTTTCGAAGAAGTTAGTGTGTTGTTGTCGGTGTTACTGGGAAGTGTCGAGAGGCACGACTCACCGTCCTGGGAACTGGTTGCTGCTGGTTACTGGTGGTGGTGGTGGTGGTGGTTGGGGGGAGGGGCCCTGGTGGGTTGTGGTGGGTTGTGGTTGGTTGTGGTGGACCGGGAGCGGGTACAGTAGCAATGGTAGCGCCGCCTGCTGGTGGTGGCGTGACGTCTGCTGGTGGTGGTGTGACGTCTGCTGGTGGTGGTGTGACGTCTGCTGGTGGTGGTGTGACGTCTACTGGTGGTGGCGTGACGTCTCCTGCTGGTGGTGGCGTGACGTCTCCTGCTGCTGATAGTGGCGTGACGTCTGCTGGTGGTGGTGGTGTGACGGGTTCACTGTACCAACACACTGTACCTAACCTCCAGCACTATACGCTAAGTCCTCACACACACACACCCACCAGTCCCCTGTGTCCCCAGGACGCCCCCAGGTCCCCACACACACAGTGTCCCTCTCACGCCCAAGTGCTGAGGAGGGACCTCGAAGCCGATGGTGTGGACGAAGGACTCTCCACTACTGGCGGAAGCCACAGCGACTCCGGCAAAACGTGGGAACAGTTTGGTTCGAAGCTAGCGCCTTTTTGCCGGGTAAGCGCTGCTCGGAGAGGCTGAATGACGTGGGAATGACGTCATTGGCTAGTCCGGGCGTGACGTCAGAAGGCAGGTGGTGACGTCAGCAGAGAAGCAGCCGATATGCTGCGCGAGATCTCGGATTATCTGGATTTTTTACAAAAACGCTAAAATTACATATGAAAATTGATCGTTTAATTCAGTCTAATTCATCTTTTGTGGTGTATTGGGGACTTGGGTTTGTTTGGGTGGTGTCTTGCAGGTGTGGAGGGGCAGTTTGGAGGAGGTTTGGCTTTGGTGGTGAAGGGCGACCTCTGGTGCTGGCACCCGACACTCCTGGCTGGTATTGTGGCTCCCACACCTGCTGCACCATACGCCTCCCACACCTGCTGCACTACAGGCCTCCCACACCTGCTGCACCACAGGCCTCCCACACCTGCTGCACCACAGACCTCCCACACCTGCTGCACTACAGGCCTCCTACACCTGCTGCACCACAGGCCTCCCACACCTGCTGCACTACAGGCCTCCCACACCTGCTGTACCACATGCCTCCCACACCTGCTGCACTACAGGCCTTCCACACCTGCTGTACTACAGACCTCCCACACCTGCTGCACCACACGCCTCCCACACCTGCTGCATCACAGGCCTCCCACACCTGCTGAACCAGAAGAATCCCACGTACCAGTCTAGTCATGGAAACTGCGGGCTCACCATAGCCCGTGCTACTTGGAACTTTTTGCTCCAGGTAGCGAATCTTAAACAACAACATATATTGGACAAAATTCTTCTGTTTAGACATATATCGGGTCGATATATGCTGTCTAGACATGTATTTTGAAGGATATATTCTGTCCAGATACACTTTGTTCTTATATATTCTGTCTAGATACACTTTGGACATAAATGTGCTTGCCAGACAGATACTGTCCACGGCCCTGTACGATGCCTTGTCATGCTAGGATACAAGGCTCACGAGAGACTATCACACTGTCCAACTTTAAGTGGCACGCACGCACACACACGCACGCACACACACACACACACACACACACACACACACACACACACACACACACACACACACAATACGCATTCACCCCCACCCACGTGAATAAAAATGCGCACTTAATCCGATATCGTGGTTCATTATAACACGACGAACTCCCCCCCCCTATAATACCTGATTTGATATCGTATCCATCAACGATGCTATAATGGTCATGGGGGAGGGGGGGGGGGTAGAAATAGCCTAAGCTACTCTATCCCTTCGAGATATATTTCTTTCTTGTCTCAATTAACATACTTGAACTATAAAGGTCACATGGCCTAGTTCAGTGAATAGGAAAACACCTTTGAGATCATGAGACCACATGCGATTGGGCAGCAACGTGTCCTTCCATTATCCGGTACGATAGATCGAGGGAGATAGATCTGAGGCCCTGTAAGATAGACTGGCCGCAATAGATATCAAGATTACCAAAGTACTTCCCATTCCAAAGTACTCTTGGTCGATAGTACGAAGATTTCGGTGGAAGTCTAATAAGGAATTCCAAGAGTGCTCTCGTTGTGTTTCAGGAAGCTGTTGCTACTGGTACAGAAGTGGATACGAGACACTGTTGATTACCCGACGTCTGAAATTCGATAGCAAGTTATCCGGAGGAGCAATGTGGATTATTTGCAACATACTGTATTCGTCTCATGAGCCAGGGCAGGTGTGTAGTGAGACATGTGGCTGAGATGTAACTGTAATTGGTCTTGTAAGACGAGACTCTTATCGTTTGTGTTCATCGGCGATCGTTAAGGGGGTTTGAAGAGGTTGAGTTTTTGTTCTCATCATAATGTTGATCGATCATCATTATTCATCATAATGTCATCATCATAATATTCATCATTCATCATAATGTCATCATCATAATATTCATCATTCATCATAATGTCATCATCATAATATTCATCATTCATCATAATGTCATCATCATAATATTCATCATAGTTACAGGAATCACCTCAACGTTACAGGAGAGCAGCTGAGATACAGCTTTGGAATTTCTAGTGGGAGGTGAGCAAGATGAAGCTTCAACCCTGGCTGCAACCCTGGCTCCAACCCTGGCTCCAACCCTGGCTCCAACCCTGGCTCCAACCCTGGCCCCAACCCTGGCTCCAACCCTAGCTCCAACCCTGGCTCCAACCCTGGCTCCAACCCTGGCCCCAACCCTGGCTCCAACCCTGGCTCCAACCCTGGCTCCAATCCTGGCTCCAACCCTGGCCCCAACCCTGGCTGCAACCCTGGCTCCAACCCTGGCTCCAACCCTGGCTCCAACCCTGGCTCCAACCCTGGCCCCAACCCTGGCTCCAACCCTGGCTCCAACCCTGGCTCCAATCCTGGCTCCAACCCTGGCCCCAACCCTGGCTGCAACCCTGGCTCCAACCCTGGCCCCAACCCTGGCTCCAACCCTGGCTCCAATCCTGGCTCCAACCCTGGCCCCAACCCTGGCTCCAACCCTGGCCCCAACCCTGGCTGCAACCCTGGCTCCAACCCTGGCTCCAATCCTGGTTCCAACCCTGGCCCCAACCCTGGCTGCAACCCTGGCTCCAACCCTGGCCCCAACCCTGGCTCCAACCCTGGCTCCAATCCTGGCTCCAACCCTGGCCCCAACCCTGGCTCCAACCCTGGCCCCAACCCTGGCTGCAACCCTGGCTCCAACCCTGGCTCCAATCCTGGCTCCAACCCTGGCCCCAACCCTGGCTGCAACCCTGGCTCCAACCCTGGCCCCAACCCTGGCTCCAACCCTGGCTCCAAACCTGGCTCCAACCCTGGCCCCAACCCTGGCTCCAACCCTGGCTTCAACCCTGGCCCCAACCCTGGCTGCAACCCTGGCCCCAACCCTGGCCCCAACCCTGGCTGCAACCCTGGCTCCAACCCTGGCCCCAACCCTGGCTCCAACCCTGGCTCCAACCCTGGCCCCAACCCTGGCTCCAACCCTGGCTGCAACCCTGGCTCTAACCCTGGCTCCAACCCTGGCTCCAACCCTGGCTCCAACCCTGTCTCCAACCCTGGCCCCGACCCTGGCTCCAACCCTAGCTCCAACCTTAGCTCCAACCCTGGCTCCAACCCTAGCTCCAACCTTAGCTCCAACCCTGGCTCCAACCCTGGCCCCAACCCTGGCTCCAACCCTGGCTCCAACCCTGGCTCCAATCCTGGCTCCAACCCTGGCCCCAACCCTGGCTGCAATCCTGGCTCCAACCCTGGCTCCAACCCTGGCTCCAACCCTGGCTCCAACCCTGGCCCCAACCCTGGCTCCAACCCTGGCTCCAACCCTGGCTCCAACATTGGCTCCAACCTGTGACTGCCCGCTGCGGCTAACACCGGTCACCAGTGACACAAGTGTTCAAGAATACCGATAAACGCTTAGTAGAAAGAGAGCATAACAGAGCACTGAACCAAATATCTAAGTTCCATACACTTTCCTCTGCTTCTCTTATCGTCTTTCAGTCTTTCATATTAATTTTTTTCAGTAACAACTCCCTGGAAATCACGTGAAATATTTCTCACTGGATGAAAATAGCATATTATTGCTAATATTTCTTAAAGCGTTTAACATAGGTCTAAACCGACCAGCCTATGTCCCTCCCATACCCCATACCATCCCCCCTTGCAAGTTTGGGTATGGCTAGGCTCAAGCGTCTGGTTTCCAGCTTTAGACAGACAGCGGCAAAGGTCCTCGTGTGGACATCATAAGACATGGTAGACATATTAAGACATCCAGATATCAAGATAATTCATACAGATATCAAGATAATGCATACAGATATCAAGATAATTCATACAGATATCAAGATAATGCATACAGATATGAAGATAATTCATACAGTAACTAAGATAATTCATTTAACAGTTAAGATAATTCATACAGGAGATCAGATTACTCACACCAGAGGCGTAAGGTCATTAGTTACATTAGACCCTAACAAGCAAACGAACAGAACATTTATGGAACAATGTAGCAATTCTTTTGGGCCCACAACAGGCCGGAAACTGTCTAAAACCCCCTCCCCCCCCTTTGTTGGCCCACAACAGGCCGGGAACTGTCTAAAACCCCCTCAACCCTCTGTTGGCCCACAACAGGCCGGGAACTGTCTAAAACCCCCCTCCCCCCCTCTGTTGGCCCACAACAGGCCGGAAACTGTCTAAAACCCCCTCCCCCCCCTTTGTTGGCCCACAACAGGCCGGGAACTGTCTAAAACCCCCTCAACCCTCTGTTGGCCCACAACAGGCCGGGAACTGTCTAAAACCCCACTCCCCCCCCTCTGTTGGCCCACAACAGGCCGGAAACTGTCTAAAACCCCCTCCCCCCCCCTTTGTTGGCCCACAATAGGCCGGGAACTGTCTAAAACCCCCTCCCCCCCTCTGTTGGCCCACAACAGGCCGGAAACTGTCTAAAACCCCCCTCCCCCCCTCTGTTGGCCCACAACAGGCCGGGAACTGTCTAAAACCCCACTCCCCCCCCTTTGTTGGCCCACAACAGGCCGGAAACCGTCTAAAAACCCCTCCCCCCTCTGTTGGCCCACAACAGGCCGGGAACTGTCTAAAACCCCACTCCCCCCCTCTGTTGGCCCACAACAGGCCGGGAACTGTCTAAAACCCCCTCCCCCCCTCTGTTGGCCCACAACAGGCCGGAAACTGTCTAAAACCCCCCTCCCCCCCGCCTCTGTTGGCCCACAACAGGCCGGGAACTGTCTAAAACCCCCTCCCCCCCTCTGTTGGCCCACAACAGGCCGGAAACTGTCTAAAACCCCCCTCCCCCCCGCCTCTGTTGGCCCACAACAGGCCGGGAACTGTCTAAACCCCCCCCCCCCTCTGTTGGCCCACAACAGGCCGGAAACTGTCTTAAACCCCCCTCCCCCCCTCTGTTGGCCCACAACAGGCCGGGAACTGTCTAACCCCCCCCCTCTGTTGGCCCACAACAGGCCGGGAACTGTCTAAAACCCCCCTCCCCCCCCTCTGTTGGCCCACAACAGGCCGGGAACTGTCTAAAACCCCCCTCCCCCCCCTCTGTTGGAACACAACAGGCCGGGAACTGTCTAAAACCCCCCTCCCCCCCCTCTGTTGACCCACAACAGGCCGGGAACTGTCTAAAAGCCCCCTCCCCCTCCCCCTCTGTTGGCCCACAACAGGCCGGGAACTGTCTAAAACCCCCCCTCCCCCCCCTCTGTTGGCCCACAACAGGCCGGGAACTGTCTAAAAAAAACCTCCCCCCCCTCTGTTGACCCACAACAGGCCGGAAACTGTCTTAAACCCCCCTCCCCCCCCATTTGTTGGCCCACAACAGGCCGGGAACTGTCTAAACCCCCCCCCCTCTGTTGGCCCACAACAGGCCGGGAACTGTCTAAAACCCCCCTTCCCCCCCTCTGTTGGCCCACAACAGGCCGGGAACTGTCTAAAACCCCCCTCCCCCCCTCTGTTGGAACACAACAGGCCGGGAACTGTCTAAAACCCCCCTCCCCCCCCTCTGTTGACCCACAACAGGCCGGGAACTGTCTAAAAGCCCCCTCCCCCTCCCCCTCTGTTGGCCCACAACAGGCCGGGAACTGTCTAAAACCCCCCTCCCCCCCCCCTCTGTTGGCCCACAACAGGCCGGGAACTGTCTAAAAAAACCCTCCTCCCCCCCCCTCTGTTGGCCCACAACAGGCCGGGAACTGTCTAAAACCCCCCTCCCCCCCCTCTGTTGGCCCACAACAGGCCGGGAACTGTCTAAAAAAACCCTCCCCCCCTCTGTTGGCCCACAACAGGCCGGGAACTGTCTAAAAAACCCCTCCCCCCCTCTGTTGGCCCACAACAGGCCGGAAACTGTCTAAAACCCCCTCCCCCCCTCTGTTGGCCCACAACAGGCCGGGAACTGTCTAAAACCCCCCTCCCCCCCCTCTGTTGGCCCACAACAGGCCGGGAACTATCTAAAGCCGTCCCACAACCTCTCAACCTTATCAAGGCAACTAACAACACCACGTTCTGAGGCAAACCAACGGTTTGATCCCATTGTCTCATAATATACCTGCTCATTCAACCCACTAGAGGGTTGGGAGCCGGTCGGCCGAGCGGACAGCACGCTGGACTTGTGATCCTGTGGTCCTGGGTTCGATCCCAGGCGCCGGCGAGAAACAATGGGTAGAGTTTCTTTCACCCTATGCCCCTGTTACCTAGCAGTAAAATAGGTACCTGGGTGTTAGTCAGCTGTCACGGGCTGCTTCCTGGGGGTGGAGGCCTGGTCGAGGAACGGGCCGCGGGGACACTAAAGCCCCGAAATCATCTGAAGATAACCACTATGTCACTCAACCTTATAAGCTCCCTGAAAAACAGTGTAACTGTGTCTCGTGTCCTTGCAACAGAAGGGACACAATGTTCATTTGATGCATCACGCTAGTGTGATTTGTGTGTGTGTCCCCCAAGATATTATGAATTGACTGATTGATTGATGAAGATTAAGCCACTCAAAAGGTGGCACGGACATGAATAGCCCGTAAGTGGTGGCCCTTTGGAGCCATTACCAGTATCAAGAGCTGATACTGGAGATCTGTGGAGGTGCGACTGCACCCTGCGTGACGGGAGATGTCTCCCGTGGATATTATGAAGGTACCTATCTAGATATATATATCCCCTGTGGTCCGTGACAACCAATATTCCCCTATTTTGTTGCCATCTCTTCTCCTGCCTTTTCCGTATACAAATTCACCTTCTGCAGTCCTGGGGAAAAAGGTGTTTTCGGCGTCTAAACCAGTGTGTTCATGCGACCGTTCGTGGCCTCATATCCTTTACTGGGTCTCTACACTTTACAAGACTTGTACGTTTCAGACCTAATCGTAGAGAGCAGAGTTTAGGCTGGGCTTGATGAGGTGGGGCTCGGGGCAGGTACAGTTGCCTGATGCAGGAAATAATTCTCTAGCGAGAGAGAGAGAGAGAGAGAGAGAGAGAGAGAGAGAGAGAGAGAGAGAGAGAGAGAGAGAGAGAGAGAGAGAGAGAGAGAGAGAGAGAGAGAGAGAGAGCATCAAACACGCCTTCACTTGACACAACACGCCATCAAGTAGTTATGTCAAAGGAATAGATGGTTAGTATACTCTATGTCAAAAACATTTCAGGCTTCATATAATTTTTATTTATATATACAAAACTTCTTACATTGTTGTACAGCCACCAGAACGCGTAGCGTTTCGGGCAGGGCCTTAATCCTAATTTTCCCCTGGAATACGACCCGCCAAATCGTTTAACAACCAGGTACCCATTCACTGCTGGGTGAACAGAGGCTACAGTCATTTAAGGACTGGCGCCCAGTCAATCCTCCCCGACCAGGATACGAACCGGACATAGTAGTCGTGGGTTGTCGCAATAAGGGCCAATTCTAGTTAAAGAGAAGCATGGCGGTGGACCTCAATATGAAACAAGCACTCTCTTGTATATATATATATATATATATATATATATATATATATATATATATATATATATATATATATATATATATATATATATATATATATATATATATATATATACATATATAAATATATATATGTATGTGTGTGTACACACATACATATGCAATTTAGTCATAGGATTAAATTGCACCATTTGCAAATTTGTAGAAAGTGGGATGTAAATTCAGAAAATTCTAAAACACTGCAAGATGATTTAGAAACGTTTAGTACACCTTACCTTGTGATGATTTCGGGGCTCAACGTCCCCGCGGCCCGGTCCTCATCCAGCTTTCCTCAAAGATAGGTCTCCAGCATAGACAAAGGCTCAGGAAACATAGATTAATGGCTAGACATACAGGGATCTGAGCCCAGGTAATAGTTAGCAGACGGGTTCAACACCCATATGCTCCTCCTGAAAAGGATTGACTCTTATTCCGAATCTCAGCGACTTCTGTGAGGTCTGAAAAAGCGGGGTTTAGTTTTCCAGAGAGTTTTTTCAAGAGTTTTCCAGCTCCTGCGAGATGGGGAACATTTTAGTATTAACTGATATCTTATTCACTCTTGTGTTGATGATATCCTCATAATGCACCCAGAGTCTGCCAGAGCAGACTACTGATCACATGTATGACTAACCATCCAGTGTGATGGGGATTTTTAGCGTCACGTAGCTAGCTTTGTGACACCGTGCGCTCCTTCATATAGTCTAGACGTAGCTGCACAAATGCACATGTACCTAAATGGATTAAAACACAAAAAATGTCCATAGTATCCTAACTTACACACACAACGTAACTACAATATTTTTCAACTACGTTGTTGAAACATCGAATCAAAGTGATATTTGTGAAAATACGGTTGAGAGAGAGGACGGGGGAGCGTG